CTGCAATATTTAATTACAATAATAATAATAATAATTTTTAATTAGTTATTAATATTTATTTATTTCTATATGATCTTTGACCTGTTAAGTATTTATAGTATTATTTTCTAAAAAAATATCATTATTTGCAATAATTTTTTTTTTAAATATATATATTAAGTTTGTATAAACATTATTAATATTGTTCATCAATGTAATCATAATTTCATACGATATATGCATTTTTTAATATATTTTTGTAATTTTTTTATAATTATGATAAAGAATAATAAATAAAATTTCATGTGATATTATTTATATATATATTTTTTTAAATAATTATTATTAATACATACAAATATGTACAACAATTTGATAAATAGCTTTTAAAACATTTTTAAAAATTTTATTAACAATTCTACTATGAATAAAAATAATTACTATAAATATTATATACAGTAAACTGTATAAATATATAACAAAAATCAATTATTTACAGTTAATTTTTTTTTAAATAATGAAAATACAAGTTTATTAATAAATCATATAAATTCAAAAAAATATTATAAATGTTTAAAGTAATAGTAAAAATTTAAACAAATTGTTATAATCTATCAATAAATGCAATCACGTATTAAAAATTTAGATTAATTTTTTAATTTTGATTAATGAATTAAATGTAGAAATATTGCATTAAATTACAATTAGTTAACTAATATTTATTACAACTATTTTAATCGCATCGAAAATCGAGGTTCAATTGAATTTAATGATTTGTTGTAAAACTTTTCATTAAAAAAACTTTATTATTGACTGAACAGACAAAATCGTGGTTAACATAAATGTTTGGATTTATGATTATTTAGTAATGATTTAGTGATAAATTTTTTTTCACAATATTCGACATCACATTTAAATGGCTTTAATTTTAAATGGATATAAATTTGATGTGATTTTAACTGACTCTTTAGTGAAAAACTTTTGTAACAATCTTTATAATCGCAAATAAATGGTCTAATCTTCAAATGAATACTAGATTTATGTCTTTCTAATCGATGCTTAAAAGCAAACTTTTTGTTGCAATCATTGACATCACATTTGTACGGTTTGGCCGATAAATGAATCATTTGATGTCTATTTAAATCACATTGTTTTTGACATTTAAACCGACATTTGGGCCAAAAACACGTGAATCGCGTGTTGTTGTTGTCATCCATACACATGTTGTTGTTGTTATTAAAAATATTATAATCACTAGTATTAATAATTTTTACTGATTTAACAAAAACATAATTTCTAAGTAAATTTGTATCAAATTTATCAATAATTTCATAGAATTTGTTTGTAATTTGTTGTAAACTTTTTGTCAAACTTTTCAATTGATTTAATTTATTGACATTACTCTCAAATTTAGTCAATCTATCACTTATTGAACACATTTTCAGATGATTTTAATATTTTGTTTTTTTTTGAAAAATAAAATAAATTGTTTTTTTAAATAGTTTTTTTATGTCAAAAAGTTATAACATTATTAGTGTATTGATAGCCATATACAGTGTACGTCAAACACAATTGAAACCCCCGTTTAATACAACAGTTTATAAATTAATAACACATTCATCAATGCATTCAATACAATACATACACTTATATACTGTACTACAGTATTGATGAATAATATTTGATTCAAAAAACATAATTTTTGTTATTCAAAATATATATCAATATATAATTTATTATCGAAAGTTTAGTACTTTTTAATATATTAAGATATGTATGAAAATTATTATAAAATAGCTTAACTATAAGAGTACTAAATTTTAGGCTAAATTTAATGTAATACAATAAAATACATTTTTGACGTCAATTGAATGTCTATTATTTTGAATATTAAGCGCCAAAATGTTTATTGTGTTTAACTTTTTTACATAACAATTGTTATTTAGTTAATTTCAAATGTATTATAAATAAACTACTATTTTACATTTTTTAAAAATATTTTTATGTAATATTTTATGTAATATATTTATGTAATATTTTTTTTTAATTAATAGTTATTTGTTTTGTAACTATTGTAATAAAAAAATATTACTTTTATAATTATTATATAAAGTTTTGAACTACTTTTATATACTACATAATATTTTTTAATTATTAATTGTTCATATTTTTAAATTATAAAAAATATTTACTATAATAATATATATACAGTTTACTAAATATATTATTAGTATTAACTTTTTACGATACAAATAATAATTTATGATAAATTATATGTAATTAATATAAAATTATTAAAATATTCAAGCTATATTATATAAAACATTTAAGCAATTTAATAAGCATATATATATATATATAGATCTAATAATTTATTAGTAAATAAATATTTAATATTTTGGAAATTGTAAAATGATATGAATTATTAGTAATATTTATTTGATTTATGATATAGTAATTATAGTAATAATAATTAAAATAAACTCATAATTAGAAAATAATTTGTAGCAGATATTGAAACAAACTTATAAAACTCATAGCTATTCATTGGAAATAAATCATAACAATAGACACCGATTTCGGGTCCCGACAATCGATTTATAAAGTTTTCCAATTTTAATGACTGAATGCGATTATTATTAGCATAATTATGATTACTAGTATTGCGATAATTTTTGGTAAAATACGAAAACATTATCTTATATGACTTATGCGCCGACTTTTCAATTTGTGTACAAACTATGGTCATTGAAATGACAACACAAAAACAAAATAAAGTTATCAATAGATAGAGTAGTCGACCAATTAGTGTAGTATCGGGTTTATGAACACCGTATAGGACTACCAGAAAACCAGGTGTGGCCACAAAATACAATATAAATAATATATATTTAAATGTATGATTCAAATCACTGGTTATGTGTTCAATATATTTGTGTTCACGTATTGATTGCAATAGCATATGATTGTTACCAGATTTAAGACAATCATTGATTTTGGTATTAATTTCCTTGAATTTCAGTATAACATAATAGCTCAGTACTATCCAATAGACTGCACCCGAAAACAGTAGACTAAACATTTGTAATGATAACGGATATAGAGTTATGTCCCAAAATACGGTCATCCAAAGCGATTGCTGACCATTGGATTCAATATACAATAGGATAGTCAAGATAAAGTGAGCGCCGGTATTAATAACTACACCCGGTTTGAAGGCAAGTCTCATAAATAACAAAACCATTAGTTTAACTATTTGTGAAAATTTTTGCCGATTTATCAGGTTTAGCGGGTATTCAATGCGATTATATTTGATTAGATAGACATATCGGAGCATCGGTAGACTATTTGAACAGTCCTGATAGTTGAGTAACGATCCGATAGTCCATGTAATTGAACACAACATTATTATACAAGTGTTGAACATTGAATTGTTGCCCAATAGACGGCCAATTGGTAGGAAATAATATCTACTAATTGGACTATCATTGGGTAGTATCAGTGCTATTATATAGCGCACAGGTATTAGCAGAAACCATAATTTGGTGATTATTATTAAACAGTAGATCAGACCAGTGATAGGCTGTCCTGTAATGTAGTCATCGAGATCTCTGGCGATTACTAAATATTTTTTGGCAAACTTTTGAAAGATTACAAAATATTTGTAAATTATTTGATTATTATCATTCATTGTTTTTTAAATAATAATAACTAATTAGATTAAATATTTTTTAAATATTATTATAATTACTTATACAATGAACTAAATTAATATTTTCTAAATTTATTTAATTATTAAATGTTAAACTAATAATAAATGATATGACAGTATATGTACACTATATTCAAATAATAAGCATAAAAATAGCATAATGTTTATATAATTGTCTAAATAAAGATATTTATTTTAATTAATTTTTATTACTTTTTTAATTTTTTTTATATAATTTTTAGTTATTTTTGTTTTAATAAATTTCATTTATTAATACTGTATATATATAAAAGTTTTTTTTCTAGTTTAATATATTAATAATATTTAGTTGAATAAATATTATATGTAAATGTTTAACTTTTATTTATTTATAATTGAAAACTAATCGAAAATATTTTATTAATCTTAATATCCATTTATTTTCATTGTTTTTATTTGATTACTTATTTCAAGAAATTTTTTATTTATTTATTTTTTTTAATAATTACTTAATATTAAATATTTCATATTAGAAAATATAAAATCAATAAAATTAAATACAATAATAATATCAGTTGAGAATGCTATATAAACTTAGTATTGAATGAATGCAATGACTTTAATATTGTTTTATTAGATTTTTTTTAAATATAAAATTTTAATATTTTATTAAAAAAATATTTTCTAACACAAACAATTTTTTTTAAAAATAATTTTAGACAACTATTTATTTGGTCTATAAGAGTAATGAAAGTTACAAATACATAAAAAATAAATATTTTTATTATAATTTTAGTAAAGATCCTGGATAAAAATTAAAAAAAAACATATATACATAAACTAATACAAAATAATATCAATCATAGTTTTATATACTTGATTATTTTAAATTTATTATAATTATTATAAATTTTAAATAAATATGATATTTATTGTTTATATTTTATTTTTCAAATTATAAAAATTATTAGTTTACAAAAAAATGTAATAATTTGAGAAAACATTAGTTTAAATATAGAAAATAAAACAATTAATTAATTAATTTTTTGAATTTAATTAATAATTATTTTATTTATTATTTATTTTTTGTTTGATTGTTATTAAAAAAAAACTTACTATAAATAACTGCAATAAACAACAAAACAAATTAAATGTGTTTTTTTAATATACATTTTGAGCCTTGGTTTATCATTAATATTATCTATATGAAAAAGTACCAAATTGTTTTGTATTTTTAAATGTGTAATTAGATTGTTATTATTATTTATATGTATAAGTTATTAGACATTTTTGTAGATATTTTGTACATATTATTAGACTATAATAATCAACAATTATTTTTTTGTTGAAAAAATTATTTTCAAAAAAATAAATAAATAAATAATATTTTCATTCAATGCAAACACCGATAACTTCCTCGAAGTCTATCAACAAAAACAAAGATATCAACCATTGATTGTCATCTCATTTGTTATTACAAGTCATCTCATCATTGGTTTCATAGGTTTTCGCGGCAGACAATCAATCAATCAATTGTGGTCTCAATTACCGAAATCTGCGGTTTCTTAAAGTTGTGATCAATTGGTTGTATGAAATGAATGTCAAATCATTGCCGACGACAACAACAACAACGACTAGTCATGTCTTAAACGATGACATATTGTGTTTGATTTTTTCGGAATTCAAGACATTAGAAGATATTATACGACTCGAGTCGGTGTCCAAACAGTTCGGCCGATGTGTCGGACAATTGTTGGCCAACGGATGCAAACGTATCGGCGATATGTCGGCCAAACCCGACATACGACTGGCCATTGGTTGTAGAGATAGCAATGGTGTTGACTATCAGTGCAGTTCATGTAATCACTGGGGATGTGATGGTATCGCACATCCATTTCAACAGAGAGTATATACACTAAATATCGGCGATAAATGTTTTCGTGAGACCACTAGTGATGACCACAACATTGTGTCACTGATTAATGTCGACAATCATCGACTGTTGTCGTCAATAGTTGTAAAGCTAACCGAAACCTATTGTCTACCGATTCGGTCGCTGGCATTGAACGGATGTCTAATAGGCTTTCAAACTATTGTATTGTTGGTCAAGTGTTGGCCACAACTTCACTGTCTTGTACTCAACGAAACTATTATAACAAACGATTTATTAAACATAAAGTCATCATCAGATATTTGGTGGACAACGTTAAGACATTTATTGATAAAACGGTTAACCATTTATGAACAAAACGGTATGTCATAAAACAATGGATACAAATTGTATTACATATACAATAAAACTTTATTGTTATTATTTTTAGGACTGAATATCTATGAGTCTACCGGTGCCGATCTAACCAAACTGATTGTACACTTTTCACTGTTGGACACACTAACTATCTCTGATCACCAGTGGTTGGATATGACTCGTATGATTGAATCACTTCCAGCTCTTCAGGGCATTCAATGCTTAAACCTGCAGCACATGTCTAGTGTTTCTGTTGCCGATCCATCAGTTACAGTACCGGTAGTCATACATACTGACGGTAACACTAGTTTAAATGAGTTGAGAATCGGTGGACTCTTTTGGGAAGACTTTACACATTTGATTCAATTTTTACACATTTATAGCCACCGATTGAAACACTTTGCTTACCATCTGTTACGTCACTGGGATCTGAGTTTTGTATTACAGTTATTTCGTTCAATTGTCGAGGAAAGCCTACTGAAAGGTGTGACCAAATTGTCGATCAAACACACTGTTCGACAGCCATTCATATACGAAGCGTTCAAATACTCTAATCAATTGACACCTATTGATAATAACTATCTATTGAATCAACTAACGGTTCTCTACTTGGATAACTGTCTACTATATACAAGTCATTTGAGATATCTGTGCGCACAGTTAGCTAACATTAGACGACTGGCACTAATCAATGTCCGACTAGACTATTGCCAGTCGTCGAGTAGTGAACAGGAAACGGGACACAAACCCAATGAACATAACTGTTCAAAATGTGTCGAAACAAACTATCAATTGTTATCTCAATTGAAAACATTGGAAGTGTTTGTTGTCAGCGATCACTGTCTGAGCGAACCTTTAATTGCAAACATGAAATACTTGACACAAATCAAACATTTGGTGATTCATACAACTAATCCACTGTACGATCATCACAAATACCTGTGCCGTGTGTTATGTGATGTTAGCCGCGAATTAGGGGCCAACTGTGCCAAACGTAATGACTATATCAACGTTTATGTCAACGATAGTATTCACCGACTTATGAATGAGTTTTTGTCCGACAATAATATGGCTATTGTTTTGCATAAAAATCTCAAATTACATGTCATTAACTTTGATGTTTGCAATTTGTTTTAAATATTTAAATTACAGTATTTTAAGTGATTTCAATGGTGACATCATTAACATAAATATACCGGTAATTACCGTTAGTGAGTATAAACAAGACCACTGGCGCTAAATCCGATGGATGGCGGATAAAATGATAATTAAGACCCCCTGGCGATTGCATGGTCTTAGGGGGTGTCAAGTTAACGCAATGATCTAAGTTTTTTTTTTATATAAATGTATTAAACACCACTCATGTATTTTACATTTATTTATAAATTAGTTATTATTATTATAAATGTTTATTTGATAGTTAAATTATCTTTATTGATCGGACCATAGTTTTTTTTTAAAAAATTACAGTAATTTTTTTCAATATTGATATGTATTATAATAACAAAGTAGTTGTAGTTAAACTAAATTTTATTTTTTTTTAAATAAGTAAAAATTTTACAAAATTTATATTAAATTATATATAATCATATTAAATAATATAAAGTATTTGTTATTTACTGAAATCAATTTTGTAATTTTAATATAACTAAAACATTAATATTTTGTTATAAAAAAATCTTTTGTTACAATAAAGTATATTTAAATTAAATTATTATTATTTATTGTTAGCCACAGTTATTAACATCAGATTTAATGGTTTGTGTTTATTTAAATTTATAATTTTCTCAAATATTGTTTATATTAGTGATATTTACATCAACAAAAAAATTGAAATTAAAATATCAATAATAGATTTTTAATTATTTAAAATGTATTCTTCGATGTTTTAAAAGATGAGATTTATATGTAAATTGTTTGTCACAGTTGTCGTCGACATTACACTTGAATTTCAGTTCAATTGAATGATCTCTTGATAAGTGTTGTCGTAAACAATGATTTGTTGTAAATTTTTTCAAACATTTATTGACCGAACAAACAAATCGCGGTTTAGATAAATGTATGGATTTATGTCTATTAATATCTGATTTTCGGACAAATGTTTTGTCACAGCAGTCGACATCACATTTGAATGCTTTTTGTTTCAAATGAATTAATTTTTTATGTTTTTTTACTAATACATTAGTTGTAAATGTTTTATGACAATTATTATAATCACAACTAAATGGTCTTAATTTTAAATGATCATTAGATTTATGTTGTTTTAAATATCTTTTTTGATCAAATTTTTTTCCACAATCGTTGAAATTACAAATATATTTTATGTTTAAATGTTTAGCCATTTTATGAATATTTAAATTACATAATCTTGTAAATGTTTTGTTACAATCATTTATATTACATTTTATAGATTTATATCTATTATGAGTTAATTGGTGTTGAAGTAAATTAGTATTTGTTTTTGCACTGAACCGGCATTTTGGCCAAAAACACTTAAATCCAGTACTATTGTTGCAAATATTATAATCACTATAATTAGTAATTTTTAATGATTTAATTAATACATTCGCTGTAATGATATTGACTTTTAGATAGTCACTAAATTCACTAAATTTATCATTAATTTGTTGTAAACTTTTTGTTAAACTTTTCAATTTATTGAATTTTTTATAATCACTATTCAGTTTCATGAATTGTTTGCATATTATTGAACACATTATTAATTATTTATATAAAAAAAACTTAAAATATATTTTTTGAATTAAAAAAAATATATAATCAAAATAATATCCTAAGTGTTTGTTTTAAATGTCAAACACAATATTAATATAATATATGTTTAAACATTACTTTAAATACACAAACTTCTACTAAAGTTAGTGGTCGTAAAACATATGCTAATAATTAACATTTTATTACTAATACAACACTATTTGTTAAACTAATGTTATATTTAAGGCATACATTTGACATCATAGACAGTGTGTATTGAAATCTAAGACTAAAATTTAAGTGACTAATAAAACTGCAGTAAAAAAAATAGACTAGACTTTTATGGTCACTATATATTTAAAAAATTTTTTTATTAAAATCATATTTTATAATTAATGGTAAACGTTTTTTTGTTTGTAATTTAATCGTATAATATATGTGTTGTCGTAAACAACGATTTGTTGTAAAACTTTTCAAACACTCATTCATTGACTGATCAGACAAATCGTGGTTCACATAAAATGTATGGATTTATGTATATTTAGTCTATCATTAAATCTAAATGTTTTAATTGCAATAATCGACATCACAATTGTATTTTTACAAATGTATTGTATATTTTTGTGTGTAAATTTTCATTATATTTTCATTATGACTGCATAACTTTTTAATCAAATAAACTCTTAAATTAAGTAGTTTTAAGTTTTAGTTTTGTCAGTAAAACTTTTTTTCACAATTAGTAACATTTGATTTGAATTTACGATTTAAATGTTTAACTCTTTTTTTGATGTGTTTGTAAATATCCAAATCGGACACAAAAAATAAATTATCGCAATCTTTGACATCACATTTAAATGATTTAATTGATGGCCAATTAAATGCAAATTTAATAAATATTTAGAAAAAGTTTTATATCAACATTTAAAAAAATCAAATAAAAAGCGGTTTTTTCAACAATTATTATTAAAAGTTATTATATTATCAGTAATTATCAATAATTTTTTGCAAAACATCTGAAGTTATATTAACATCATTTTGATTACATAATTCACATAATTTTTTTTATTAATTTGCTGTAAACTTGATGTCAAAATTGAGATTATTTGTAAAACGTTTGCAACTAATTAACTGTTATTCACATTAAAGTAATTTAAATAAAACTGCTTATTATATGACTATAAAATACTGTATTATATTATCATATATTCAGGAAAAAGCCATATAATATGTTAATTAAATGTATTGATATTATATTTCATATATCAATAAAAACTTAGAAATTCAAATAAATCTAAACAATTTTAATTAGAAAATAATTTTATATTTCTTGTTATTTTTTGTCTGTATTTTTAACAGATATACTGTAATTATTAGTATTATTATCTTTATTTTTTTGTAAACAATTTTAAAACTATTTCATTATCAAAAATAATAAATTTCAATAATTAATAAAATATATATGTTTTTTTTATTTTTATTATATATATATATAATATATATATATTTATTCCTATTATATTACATATTTATCAATAAATGTTTATGTAAAACATTAGTTGAATTTTACGGCATTTACTCATTTGACGCACCAATAGATTAAAAAAACTAATTTTATTTTTATTAAAACATTTTATTTTAATATGAAATTGTATTACAATTTAGTTTATATGTTGCAGTCGTGAAGCACAGGTATATCTAAGCATAAAATGTAAGGTCAGTGCTGACCCTTATATAGAGATTTTAGGCAATACTTGACCCATAAAATAGTCGGCAGTTATTTGAAAAGTAATAAACATATAGAAAGTGAATACTTTCTATAAATGGCAAAAATGCTAAATTTAAGTCTATTTGATAATTAAATTATTGCTATATTTTAGTGAAATATAGATATTTTAAAGTTATTTTCAAACATAAAGTGTTTATACTTTACATCCCTCTGTTTTAAGTTGTTTACCCGGGGGGGGGGGGGGTTAGAGAGTTTTGTTACAATTATATGCAGTGTATTTTAGTGATTACATTTTTTTATCTAAAATTATTTTATGATTTAAAACATAGTATTTTAAAAATTAAATTCATAATTATTGACTCATTTTTTTTAATTAAACTTATTATTTAAATCTTGCGATTTGTTTCCGGCGGCGGTTCGGTGCTTCCGAGTCCAGTCGGGTGTCAGTTTTCCGCGGCGGTTTGGTTCTTCCGATTCCAGTCCCGTCGGGTATTTGTTTCCCGCGGCGGTTCGGTTCTTCCAATTCCAGTCCCGTCGGATATTTGTTTCCCGCGGTGATCGGTGCTTCCGAGTCCAGTCCCGTCGAGGTGGTGTGTCCACTTGAGGCCGTAGCCTAGTTAACGATATGGTCGGACTATTGGTCCCGGAGTTTCCCGACCGTGTTGTTGACGGGACCATACCGGATGCTGATTTCCTTACATGCTTTTGAATTGGTGGCCATGTAGTGGGTTGGGGGCTTCCCGGACAGGTTAACAATCCTGCCGACTTGTAAAACATTAGTTGAATTTTACGGCATTTACTCATTTGACGCACCAATAGATTAAAAAAACTAATTTTATTTTTATTAAAACATTTTATTTTAATATGAAATTGTATTACAATTTAGTTTATATGTTGCAGTCGTGAAGCACAGGTATATCTAAGCATAAAATGTAAGGTCAGTGCTGACCCTTATATAGAGATTTTAGGCAATACTTGACCCATAAAATAGTCGGCAGTTATTTGAAAAGTAATAAACATATAGAAAGTGAATACTTTCTATAAATGGCAAAAATGCTAAATTTAAGTCTATTTGATAATTAAATTATTGCTATATTTTAGTGAAATATAGATATTTTAAAGTTATTTTCAAACATAAAGTGTTTATATATTTTACATATATATGTTTTTTTTATTTTTATTATATATATATATATATAATATATATATTTATTCCTATTATATTACATATTTATCAATAAATGTTTATCAATAAATAAAAATCAATTGACTACTACACTGTACAATGTCGTTGACCGGGGACATATAACTTAAATTGCAATAACTAAAATAAAATAAATAGAAAATTACTATAAAAAAAATCTCTAGATAGATTAAAATCATAACAATAAAAATTATTTTAAATTAAAAGACAATTTTTTTAGATTAATTATATTTGCTATTTGTTTTGACAAAAAATAATAATATAATAATTAAATATTTGTTTTAATCATTTAAATTATATTTAAACTTATAATTGTTTAAATGACTTTCATTATGCAATCAAATGAACAAAACGTTTGTCTCAATTAAGTTTATTTATTTGTAAAAAAAAACATTTGGATCTAATTAACAGTTTGTTCAGTTTGTAAGTAACATTCAATTATCAAATTACTGTAAACTGTTTTATAATATAGTTATATAAAATATAGTTATTATAATACAAGATTTTATAGTAAGAAAATGCTTGAAAATATGTTAATTATAGTGTAAGATATATTATATTTCTAGTTTTAAAAGTTTAATTAAAAACTGGTTTATGTATTTCAAATCTC